CTGTCATCTGAATGGTCTTCAGTTCAAATCCTATATGCCGCCATCCTCTACCATGTTAATGGAGGTTCTGGTTGAGATAGAATAATCTTCAATTATGAAGGGACAACCAAAACATGCAAAGTAAATAAACAAACATAAACATTATTTGAACTAATATTTATTAACTTTTGACAGAAGATTCAGAGTGCCCAACAAGAAACAACAGTTGTGATACAGCTGAGACTACAGCCAGTGGGACAGATATCAGTACCTCCGTCTCTGACAGTGAGAGAAACATCGCAGTGGATTACATTTCATCATGAGACTTTGATTTGATCTGCATTTTGCTTCCATTGTAGTTGTGGTCTTCTCTTGGGTCATATTCTGAACAGGACGCTATATTTCCTTGTTATCAATCATTTAAAATCAGATATGCTTATACAGTTTTACTGTTTCTATAAAATAGTTTTTCGAATTTCTTGAGCTATGATAAAAGTGTGATAATGTTGTTTTAACTTTCATGTTGATGGCCAAAGGAAATGTAAAACTATATCGGTCACAGATGAAATGATAGTTTTTTAAAATCTCTTTGAAACAAATTTAGCTGTTATTAAAATGGTCTAAACAAAAATGAATGCATTAAAAAAATATTTATTTTTTTACACTATGTTACCAGTTTGTAACATCTGTATTATTACTTGTGACTTTTTAATTTGTTTTCCTGTGCTGGTGTCTGTGAAGTGTCCATATCATTCTCTCAACAACAAATCATTTTTAAAAACTTTCTGTATTTGCAGTATCCACTTAAGATCAATCAGAAGTCAATAGATAAATTATTAGATGATAAATAGCCCCAACTAAAACAACAAATTCATCAACTTGCTGTGGGACTTCAATGGCACTTAAAATTTCTCACAAAGCTTGATTATGGCTTGTAGTTGCCAATTATAAACTTTGGTTCTTAGTTCTTTCCATTTAACAACCTTTATCCCCCCCAGGAGCTGAAACAAAGATCTTACTCTCGAATGTTTGACTACATTCTGAACATGCGACGGAGGTTGAACACTGTGGGAGGCTGGACACTGTGTCAATAGCCATCAACTTTTTGTTACCATGCATTTCTTCTACTTTGAGTTTGTCCTTGAAATATTTCATTTGATTACATGGAGTTAGCTGTCCTTTAGTTAGCTGGTGGAAAAGGATTCATTCATTCTGTAGATGTGGTCTGCCCACTGTCAGGACCTCTGTATTATGCCATTTAGTGGTGCAGATTTTTTTTGAAGTGCAGGTTATTTAGCTTATTGGTAATTTTTTTTTTATAGGGCTCATATTTCCCAGGAAAAGCAAATGTCACTGGCTGGACAGACTTCAAGACTACTCTGTGATGCCTTGTCTCTTTCAGTGTAACTTTTCATTAGTCCCATGTACTTTGATTACCGGTATGTAAAGTTTCCCAGTGAAATTTTAAAGTCCATTGAACAGGTGATGTCAGAGCTTATTTGGCTTGCAGTTGGGATGATTGTTTTTCAGTGTTGAACAGATGTCAGTAGACAGGTGAATATCCCAACAGATGTCAGGTAGCTAGGCGAATGTCTAATGAATGTCAAGTAGATAGGTGAATGTCCAACAGATGTCTGGTAGATTGATGAATGTCCAGCAAATGTCAGGAGAATGTCCAACAGATGTCAGTTAAATATATGAATGTCCAATAAATGTCAGGTGGATAAATGAATGTCAGGTGCTAGGTGAACATATCTCCTTCAGATTTTTCAACCCTTTGTTGGGTAACACTAATTTTTGATCCAAATCAGAATAGTATTATGATGACATAATCTCGTTATTAACAAAACAACAAGGAATTTAAACAATATATATATGTATATATATATATACAAAGAGAACATGCAAGCTCATGTGAACCAGCAGCACTGATGTAACTTGATTTTGTTCATGTGAACCAGTAGCACTGATATATATTTTCATCTTGTTCATATGAACTAGCAGCTCTGAAGAAGTCTAACTGAGTTGGTGCCAAAGACACAACCTTCGCTGTCTCCACATTACAATTGTACAATGCCCAAATTTTGTCCCTTAGATTAAACACTGTACACTGTATTCTATTAATAATATTTTTTAGTACATCTGTTTGTTAATATTAAAAATATTTAACTTTGTGACCAAAAAAAACAAAACGAAACAGCTTAATGATTTTTTAGATTTAAAAATAAAATTATTGATCTGTTGAATTTTTTTTTTTTTTAAATATATTTTTCAAGTAACTTTGTTTAAATTATGACTGCCTGAACTATTATGAGAACTTGATTTATTGAGTGTAAATTGTCAGGTCTGGTTGATGTATGTAATGTTCACACATTTTCTTTGTTCACATGATAGACATTGTATAGACTGACGTACTAAGACCATCTGGATTTTCATAGTGTGAGACTGCATAAAAGAAAAAAAAAGCAATACTTCTTATTAATAATGCAATTGCTAAGTTGGATTTATATGAAGAAAAAAAATATCTTTTTAAATGAATTATTTCCTTGTTGCACATGTACATCTTGTGTTTGAATATATACTATAGCTTTTATATAGCGCTACTTTCATTCTTATAATAATAATAATAATCTTTATTGTCCATATGGAAATTTGTTTTACAATTTGTGCATTACACCAAACAAAAGACATTATAACTATAAGAAACCAAAGTGTACATTCACACCAGACTCACTCATAATTTACATGTGACAAAGTTTATACCAGATTGTTGTTATTTAATGATTTGATTGCCAGGGGAACAAAAGAGTGTTTATGTCTGTTTGTCTTTGCTCTCTGTGTCTTGTATCTCTTTTGTGATGGTAAAAATCACAAAATCCTGACACAAAGGGTGATTCTTTATTTCGAGGATCTTGTTAGCCTTTTTTTAGATGTTTGTCTCAAACAGCTGCCCAAATGGGGTTTGTTTTTTGCCAATGATTTAACCAGCAGCATTTAGGATTCTATAAAGTTTATTTTTATTGTTAATGCTCAGATTGCCATACCAGGCAGTGATATTGAAACTTAAAATATTGCAGATATGAGCGTGATAAAACATAGCCAAGGCCTTTTCGCTAAATTAAATGAGGACAGTTTTCTTAGTAATCGTAATCTTAGCTGCCCTTTTTTGCTGATATAATCAGTATTTATAGCATGCTCAGAGCGCTATGATCTAATCTCATTTGTGAACCAGTATGGGAGGGAGTATCTGGGAGAAGGTTTTTCCGTGCTGTCTTTAGGCACAACTCTGCTCGAGTCGGGTGTCGAACCTCAAGCCCCCTCCATAGGTAGCCAAGCCAAGTTCAAGCCTACTCTAGACCACGCTTCCCAGGAAAGAATAATGACAAATAGCGAAGGGTTAGAGAGTTTATGTTTGAGTTTTTCCTGGGTTTGTGTAGAAACAACATTCTTAGAGCTCTGGGGTGATGCACTCAAATTTTGTTGGTGAGAATATTAAAGAAAGAATATTTAAAGTATCTTGTAATTCAGGTTTATTATTTTTATCTTTTTGTTTCTTGCAAAGAGGCATTGCAGGGAGATAATAGCTGCATTTAGGCTGCAGATTAAAAAGGTGCATCTCCTCTGCTGATGCTAGCTTAGCAAGTTTCTCATAGCAACATGGTCGTAAGGCTAGCCAAGACCATTCGTTATAGAAGGCCTCAACACTGACCTGCAATGTCACAACCTGTGGGCAGTTTAGACCAATAGCTCTTTGCCACATTGTACAGGCCTGTGATGTGGGAAAGAGCTATTGGTCTAAACTGCCCAGTTTGTGATGTTGAATGTCTGTTTAGCCACATTTGACACTTCATGTGAATATCTCATAGATTAAGAAAGATTGCAAAGGCCCAGCTGTGACCAAAATATTTTGGCGTCGTGCAGACCTGTGACGTGGCAACAAGCTACTGGTCTATACTGCCCACAGTGTGTGACGTTGCATGTTGGTGTTCAGGCCTTCTATAATGATTGGTTAAATACAAGCTAATTAAGAAATAGTTGTTTATCTATTTTTTAAAAGACAAAAACAAGGTTACAAAAACAGTTTGTGTAGAAACACCAACTCGAAATCGGCCCCCGAAGTGGTCCACCCAGGCAGGCTTCAATATTTTCAGAAAGAACATCCAAATGAAATTATATCAAAGACAAATGAGAGATAAGAATGGAGAATGAAGGTTGACAGATCTTGTGTAGTGCCCCAACGGTCCAGCAGATCAAAGGATAGGTGCAAGTGAATGCAAAGTTAGATGTGAACCTGGCCTAACTAGTTCCCCTTTCAGACCTTGTGGTCTATAGGGCAGATGATGTAAAGTTCATCTGTTTTTGTGGCCTACGGTTAATGAGGGTGTCATGTAGCCAGCACAATGACCAACCGCCTTTACTTTTCCCCAACTAATGTCAGGTACCCATTAGAGCTGGGTAGACTCAGAGGCGCCCAAGGATTCCGAAGTTGAAAATCCCAGTCTTCACTAGGATTCGAACCCGGGACCCCGGTTCGGAAGCCAAGCGCTTTACCGCTCAGCTAACGTGCCTCTCCTGGCCTAACTGAAGTCTTATAATTGATGTAATTGTTTTGAAAAGGCTCAATCTCTTATTCCAATCCTTAAAAAAAAAAAAAAAGTTTCCGCTATAAAAAATAGTTCATGGAAATAAAGTTTACAAGATTACTATTCGTTAAATTAGGTCTAACTTTTAATGCATACTAATTAGCTTTTCTCGTTAAAAAACTTCTTGCATAACTGATTAAAAAAAATTAGATTTTTCGCTTTCAGAAAAAAAAAAAGTAGCCGTTGCATCAGAACTTTTAATGGTCTAAAATATTGTGGTGTCGGTTTTTCAATATCTTTTCTAGTTTACGAGATCTAAACGGGATGGGCGGACAGACATTTCACACAAAACTAATGTCTTTTCCCCTTTCGGGGGCCGCTAAAAATGCTATCTCAATAAAAACTAAAAATATGAAAAAAAAAACACAATGCTACTAGAACCATCACACATATGTATTTAATCTTTACAATAAACAGTTCCAAGTAACACTAGAAAGTACCTGTCTAGTCTTTATAGTAGCACTTGAAACAAATAAGTCCAAACAAGTTCAATGAAAAATATCATACTACTTACAAAGATGTGTTATAAAATGTAAACAAAACAATTTCAAAGACAGAATCAAAATTGTTTGACTGTAGATAAACATTTGAACAACACAACAATCTAGCAAGTTTATATTCTTCTTCTTCTTCTAGCCAGCTTTATTGCTGCTGAGCTGTAACACGTTTATATATTTAGGAAAACAAAACTTGTGCATTTGTTAGATGTATGAGTTAAATTCTAATTCTCCTTGTTCTATTCTAAAATAATTTCATTTCTATATTTCTCCCTGGTCATGGCCACATTTTTATATGCTTGCGAGTCTTGGACGCTGACTGCAGAGCTAGAGTGGAGGATCCTAGCAATGAAATTGAGATGCTACAGAAGGATCCTAGGGAACACATTTAAAGACCACATCAGAAGCAAAGAGATTAGAGACAGGGTTACTAAATCGATTGGTCCCCACAATGACCTGCTAACTATTGTTAAAAAACACAAACTAAAACTCTATGGCCGTATTACAAGGTCTAGGGGCTTGCAAAAACCTTCCTTTAGGGAACAGTGCCAGGATAAGAAGATGAGGCAGACAGAGAAAGTGATGGAAACACAAAAAAGAATAGATGCCTCTGCAAGAGGTTCTATCCAAGGAAAAAGACAGAGGAATGGAGAAAAATGGTTGACAAATCTAGCATGGTGCCCCAACAGACTAAGGGATAGATGAAGTTTCCCCATAATCTAAACTGAATGTAGGCTCAAGATGCTAGGAGAAAGAAACTAACATAAACACCAGAGTTAAAAGGATAAACTCATCTAAATAATTTCAAACAGTTATGTTTTAATGTTCTTAAATCTAGTGAAGTTTGTGTTTTGTTTGAGCTCCATTGTCTAGGAACTGAAAATCTCTGAGGGGAAAAAAAAAAACAAGACTTTAGTCCATGTGAGTGATTAGTTCAGAGAAAGGGTCCAGAACAACTGAAGTAACTTAAAACATTTTTATTGGAGACTATAAAAGAGCGAGAGATGGTGGTTCATTGTAAGTTTCTTGGAGGTTCATCTAAGTTCACTGTCACTATATATCATGTCATTCAGTCAATCTAGCTGCATTATTGTTCTGATACTTAAATCATATGATTTTTTTCCCTCACTGGACTGATATTCATTTTCTACGACCCAGCTTGAAATCAGTCTATCTTCAAATCCACTTGACAGTGTCAATTCAAAAAACAACTCAAAATCTTGTGCATGAATATGCCAGACAAAATCAAATCTATCAACAAATATATCAACTCTCAAACACAGCCACAGTGAAGCAGCACAAAGTCTGGACAAAGGCCTGAAACTCACGCCACTAAATTGAAAGCTTGACCAAAGAAGTGAACACCTTAGAGACTTCATCATATAGAATCATCATTGGCTGTGAAAGCAGGATAACAATGATTCTATACATGATAATTGAAATGTCTCAAGTTTTGATTTCTAAATTTCTTGACTTGTTCCAAAGATGAAAACTCGTCTATTATTAATGAAGCTAAGCAACAAATGAAATCCATAAAGGGCAGGAACTCTTGCAAAGTCAGCATACTAACAGTTGAGACCCTAAGTAAAGGCTAAATAGAAGAAAGGTGCAAATGACAAACAAACAAGTGTAAGATGTGTCAAAATATTTAGGTCACTGGTGGCCCTTTGCATTCTTCCTATGAGATATTAACATGAAGTGGCAAAAAATATAGGTCATATAGGAACTCTTACAAAGTCAGCAGCACTAACAGTTGAGATCCAGAGAAAAGACTAAATTGAAGAAAGGTGCAAACGACATACAAACAAGTGTTAGGTGTGGCAAAAAATATAGGCCACAGCTGGGCCTTTACCTTCTCCCTTGATACTAACATGACTGCATTTGTTTCAGTACTAAAGCCTCAAACCCTATATGTATTTCCTTAATCTTAGAGTCAGCAAAGAATTGCTGACAACTACATGCAAGAAAACTGCCTTAATCACTTCTGCTTCTTTCAGAAACATAAATAAAACATGTCAAGTGGCAACTGTCCCTTAGAAATGGGGTACCCAATGTGTGAAGATGCACAACAAAAAAAAGGCACTATAGCTATCAGTGGTGTGAGAACCTTTAACCTGGAGAGACCAGGTACAATGCTAAAACAATGGCATGGAGTGAACGGTTCAAAGAAGAAGTACCCTAATGTCTACCAGGTCATCCTTTAGTTAGGGAAAGTAAAAGACGGTTGGTTGTTGTGCTGGCCACATGACACCCTGCTCGTTAACTGTTGGCCAAATAAACAGAGGACCTTAACATCTTCTGCCCCATAGATCGCAAGGTCTGAAAGGGGAATTTTACTTTTTTCTTTACTACCAGGTCATCACAAATCTTGAAACTATTTGTTACCTATATTTAAGTCAACCAAATGTTAACATTACTAACAGCATTACAACCTGGAATAGTCAACATGTAGAGAACCTGTATTTATATTAGATGACAGCAATACAGTAGATTAAAGATCTGCGACTAAAAATATTCTCCGCTTGGTCCTGTGTTAAGCACACTGCAGGAGGTTTGGTCTGGGATGTAAAAAATCTTCAATTCTAAAAATAAATGAACAAAACATTAAAATTTAAAACAAACAACTGCTTTTAAAAGTCTGCTGACATTGCCATTAATTAGAATCCCTTTTTGTGAGACGACTATCAAGATTCGAAAGGAGTGCGACAGGAAAGAAGACATAAAGTGAATACAACATTAAACATCATAATGAGACGGTGATGGACGGAATCTATTCCAGGAATGAATGGCAACTATTGCTCCGCTGACATGTCCAGCTAAGGTCGCTGCTGTAGGTGGAGTCAATAGTAAATAGTTAACTATCAAATTAGTGTGACATACAAAAGATATAATGTAAACACAGCTGTCAACATAATGAATCAACAACCCTGAACAAAAGTGGGGAATGGGTACTTTCTAAAAAGAAAACAAAATGCTGGTTCTGAGCTGATTCAGGATCATCTACTGTTTGATAAAATCAATAAAAACTTTGGTCAAATGGAGGGTCATTTTATTCCTGTAGGATGACCCTCATTATACTTGTGTAGGATGACATCATTATACTTCTGTAGGATGACATGATTTTACTTCTGTGGCATGACATCATTTAACTTTTATAGGATGACATTATTATACTTCCAATTGTGATATTCAATACTATCATCCTGAAACAGTATCACAACATTCCTTTGACTCTGAATATTTACAAGTTCATTAATCAAATTTTCCTTATATGAATAAATATTTGGGACTTTTGACATTCAGGTAAAAATTAAATATGAAAAGAATACCAGAGGAAATAAACTGATATCATTGGCAGGTGGGTTACAGATACACTGAACATTGAAAGAGCAAAAAAATCAAATAAATCTGGTGGTAAAAACCCAAGTCGCACACATTCAAATGCAAAATGTTACAAATTTTCATATAAAAGGGATGGAACTCTTTAAATAGTTCCTACTTCAAGTATCAAGAATTTCAGACTAAAATCTTATCAACTCTTATAAGGGTTGAAGCTAGGTAGGGTTTTAAAAAGCTAGGGAAGTTTAGAGCATCAAGTTCTTGTCTCTCTCCAAGGGTGTATATAATTAAAAGAAAAGGATAAAATACAGGAATAACGAAATGCTGAAGAATATTGATAGTTAAGTTCCTAACTTTTCGATTTGATAGACTGCAATGAATAAAGACAACATTATGAGACAAGAAATCGCAAAGAATAATAGCTCAATCTTTGATGCTATATGACATCAGAGATAAAAAAAAAAAATGTTTTTTCTAAAAAGTGTGAATATTTCAAAGCAGTAAAACAAAGTTAACACAAAAAAAATGTGTTGTTTGTCACCATTAAGTTTTGATGTCCAGATTAGTAGCCTCGCAATCTAGTCATAAAACATTATTTTCTATTCACACTTTCATGGTATTGTTTTCACTCAATCATGATACAAAATATGGAATCCTTTATAACAGAATCAAACATAAAATATTTTGATATAAATAGTAATACAGTCTAGTAAAAAAAAATATATTAGTAATACTAAAATAACTTTTTGATTTTCATTCAATGATTTAAAATTAAAATCAATAATCATAAATAGGTTTTTAAATATTTCCAAAAAAATTGTTTCTTTCCTTAAAAACGCAAACGAAAAGTTGAGCAAATAATAAAATAAAAACTCGGTTTCTATTCCTAGATAACAGAATAAATAAAGTAACTGAGTTGCAGGTAGTGGTAGTTACACAATGAAACCCAAAGAACAAAAGTCTACACTGGAATAAAACAGTATCAGGAGGATACAGATTGTCATAAAAAGTACAATCATTAAAAAAACAAAACAATGTCAGACAAAAAAATTTACATCTGGAGTCTATATACAAGTTAAAACAAAGTATGACACTGAATGTTATTTATATATAAAAATTACTTGAATTTTTTACTTTGTCTATTTGTTTTGTTACTTTTTTCCATATTTTGTTTTTAATACATCACAAAATAATTACTCTTGTAAACTAAGTTAACGAAAAAAAAAGATAACAACTAACTTGTGCATGACAACGATTTCTGGCCTCCGGCGTGAACCTCAAATCAGCTATGGCTCTCATTAGTCGAGAACTGATGCAGTTTCTTACCAGACATCAACAGAATGAAATGAACGCAGGGCTTCTAATTAAAAACAATTTTTAAAAGCTAGTCTAATAAAAGATTAGATGACAACATTTCTCCTTAAAAAGAGTGCACGAATGTGACCCCTGTAGCGTCTTCGCTTTGGAAATCAAGTCTATTGCTCAGCTACATGGTACACAAAAGTGTTTGCTTTAAAACTTTGTCCTATGAATTTCAAACCTGTTAACATTTTCTTCTTGTCCTTATTTAGTGTCGAGCAGATGAAGAGTTCAGGGTATCAGACGTAGAATATACGAACTTTAGATATGCTGACTACCATATCACCATCGAAAAATCTGGTCTCTATAACAACATGTCCACTATAAGGAAAAAGAAAAGTTTATAAACACAAAACATGTTGGTGGAAGGGAAAAAATATTTGGCTAAAACAGAGACTATTTTATAGAAATGC